CTAATCAATAGGGTTAACAAAAAAAAAAAAAAAATCGATCATGGATTACAAGAAAAGAAAACAAACATTTCGATCATGGATTACAAAAATTTCTATTATGGGTTACAAAAAACCAAAAAATTCGATCATGGATTACAAAAAAACAAAAAAAATTCGATCATGGATTACAAAAAAAAAAAAAAAAATACCGTACGGACTCGCCGATTCACTGTTCGGACTCGCCAATTCCGTACAGTGAATCGGTGATTTCACTGTACAGAATCGTCCGGTTCTCTCTAGAACCGGACGATTTCCGATTTTTTAGGCGATCCGGTCCCCTTTCACGATTTCCGAGTCGAACCGGGCGAGTCCGGTTCGACTCGGCATTTTTAAAACGCTGCTCTAAACAATCAAATTCGAGCCTACCTCAAAAATTTCACTAGAAGATATTGTTTTGATGCCCAAATATCCTCAAATTCATCATCTCGACATCAAGATGCATGGACATGAGAAAAAAAATGGATTTTAAGTTTTGGAAATAGTGTATTTTGTAACGCACTTTTGGACTGTCAATTTTCAAGATTTTCAAGTTTTCATAGATATATCGATCTACACTATTTTTTAAGCTTTAAACTTTATAAATAAAGATGAAAATATATTTTAAGGCTATAAAAAATATTTACAGTATTGAAACCATATTTCTCTACACCATTTGAAGGTAGGTTTTAATTTGATTGTTTAGAGCCTGGGCTCTATATAAACCGCACCCCTAAAAAAATACTTTTTGTGTTTCAAATTTTTTTTTTGTGAGTGTTCATTAGAATAAAAAATATATATATTATAAAATTTAGACCAAACAAATGACCATGATTTTTTAAGGTTATCGCATTGCATTGCTGCACAACAGTCCCATGAAATCATTGCTTTAAACAACCGTTCCATAAAATCACTGCTTTTTGTTGCAGGGCAAGAATAGAAAGCTTGCCCATATAAATATCCGCCCTAATTATCGATTATACTAATATGATATTTATCTCCGTGAAAAGGTATGTGATGATAAGCATCTATCACCATTCACCACACGATGGACTGCGATGGGGACAACATTGACTACGACTTCGGTCGTGCCACGTGGTAGTGGTCACTTCACTTCGTCTCATTATCGTCCATCGTCTTCTTGGACAGTGATAGACACCTGAAAGCTCTGATTTCATATGATCAAAATAAGGACCATAGTTCATTTTCCCTAAACTCTGAAGTCTTCTTCCGGCGGCAAAGACCGGGAAGAGTTTCCTCCTAGAGCTCAGAGGTTAGAGACCAGGTTCTGTTCTCTCCTGTAGTGACCCCAGGAGAGGGAGAGATCTTCCCCACTGCAACAAGAGAGACAAGGCCTTCCCTACTGTAACATAAGATAAAATCTAGAGAGAGAGAGAGAGAGAGAGAGAGAGAGAGAGAGAGGATAGTAGTATACTACACACCGACGAGACACACTACTACAACGACACCACCGTAGGAGGACGCGTCCGTACCTACCCGTCCGTCGTCGTCGGACGG